TTCCTCCGGCGCGATCGCGGTCCAAGTGGGAAAACGGTTGTTTTAAGTTGTCGCAATTCTTCGTGGGAGAAACGTGCTTTTACCTACGTCATCTTCGCCATCGGCCACATTTAAAAAAATATATATGTTAAGGGTAGCAGTTAGTTGCGGACACTCAAATGTCCACCATGAGTCATTTCTCGGGTTTGGTCATCGTATGGGAACAACTTTCTTCTGCATTAAATTTCCCCTTACCAACAAAAAGTCCTTGATATTGCTGCGACGAGCCGCTTTCGCAAAACTGAAATTTTCGCATCGCAGTTTTGCAACCGGCGGTAGTCCACTGCGAGTGGCCCACCGTGATTGGCCCACTGCGAAAGGATCGGAGGAAACGGTCTGAAGGTGGTTCGAGGCCCTTAAGGTCTTTCCATAACTCAAGGAATCTCTTTAACGGGCACGAGCCCTCTAATCAGGGGAATTGAAAACCGGCCGTGAAGGACCCCGATGTGCGGGCCGCCGTTACGCCGGTCCATTACGAGGGTTGGGTCCATTACGTTTGGTTTGGGGATCGGCTTCGCTGAGGCGATCTGCGGGAGGTACTTTCACGAAAACCTTCATTTATTCTTTTCGAGGAGTTGCCGGGGTTGCCGGGGTTGCCGTATCGGAGAAAATGCTGTAAGCCGCCTTATTAATTAATTATATTAGTTGTTTCAATTTTTCCACGTCTTGAGGAAAAGAGAAAAGATCCTCGATTGCGTTTTTTCGTAGAAACAGGGCAATTCAAGGACAATCCAGAAATTTCTCCTTTGAAACTCATTTCAACTATATTAATCTAAGATTTTTTATTTTTTTTTATTTCGCAGGAATCCTCAAATTTCTGAAATTTATTAATTCGTGCTGCCATCCGTCAGCGGAGATTAATTGATTGGTTTTGATTGATTGAGGCCGCAACTAATGATCTGCTCATCCGCAAAAGTAAACAGTGGTAAACAACAAATAAATTCCAGCTGGTTGTGACGTCAACACTCCCCGGAAGTGACGTCACGACCGAACAGAAACCGGGTGGAAGGAATCTTTTTTTGGCGCCTGGCTCCATTCCAGATTTGATTTTCATGCTCCATCTCGACCCGATTCCGCCTATTTATCAGCCCATTTATCCACCTACGTCTCTGAGGGCCTTTGTCGGTGGATTCCGGGCGGGGAAAAAAATTGCGGAATATCTCGGGAATTCTTTTGTACTTTGAAGGGGAAAAAGTGGGGGGGGGGGGTAAAAAAGAAAAATGAGGGAAAACTGAGGCGATATTGGTCGGATTCGGGCTGGAGTTAATAGGCTTACATTCTCTCATTTTCTTCTCATTATATTTTCCGATTGGAGAGGATCCAACAAAAAAGGGGGAAAATCAGGTTTTTCAGTCGTCGGAATCGTGTCGCCGCAGTCACCGCACGCACAAAACACAAAAGCGGAAAAGAAACGGCGCGCCTCCCCCGTTCCTCCGATGAATCCAGGCACGCCCATCCCCTGCCTCGTGGCCAGATCATCCCCTGCCTCGTGGCCAGACCATCCTCTGCCTCATGGCCGGACCATGCCCATCCCCTGCCTCATGGCTCTCAAGGGTTTATATAGAGGGGATCCGGAGGATTTATCACACAGAGATGCATCGGGAGCCAAGAATACGTCACGTGCAAACGAGACTCCGTTATTAATTCTCGCCCCCCTCTGCCCCCCTCCCTTCCCTCTCTTCCCTCCTCTCTGCCCCCCCTGCGATCATTCCATCCTCGCCGAAGGGCCAAAGAGAAAGAACTGCTTCTTCCAACTCCCCCCCCCCCACCCCCCTCCCCCCTCAAAAAACATTTTCCCCTGTTGAATAAACTCATAAATACGGCGGAAAGCACGCGCGGAGTGACAGGCGAACCTCCAGATTCAACGAATGATAAAAACGTAGGGTAAACTCAAGAGCGATAAAATGCCAGTGCTGAATGTCCCATAATTGCTGCCCCGCGCCCGAATCCGCCAGGCGCAATGCGTTCCCCTCCGCTCCCCTCCCCTCCTCTTCCCCTATCCCCGATCAATATACAGTAATATGGGGTAGCTGGCTCTGACCCCCCCCCCC